TGTCTCATGATTACAGTTCTAACTGGAGCAGTCAAGTGTTTAATTAACCTGATTATTTTATTTGAATGCTTTAGGTATTTTCTTAAGGTCTTTTGCAGCTGAGCACCCAGGGCATTCACCTGGTAGGTACGATTACCATGTCTTAACACACCGTGTTGCCTGGTTAGTGTAGTATCAGGAGCACGGTATCACAACTATCCAGCTCATTAAAGAATAGACCACCCATGGAGCTGAGACCTTGATGGGGAAAAAACCCTTTTAACATTGTCTTTGCGAGCAAATAAAAAAAAGTAAAGGCAAAACAGGCAGGTAACACTAAACAGTCAGGTTTAGAATACAAATGTCTTCTTTAAAAATAAAGCAATTAAATATTAAGTCTCAATAGTAGCAGAGGTGTTGACATACCTGTGTTTGACGTTCCCAGTCCTTGTCACACAGTTAAGCTGATGTATTATAGGTCCAGCGATGTCATAGTTATGTCACAAGGGGTGACAGTGCAGGACAAAGCTTGGCCCACTGCAGGCACCTGGAAAAGAGCTATTGTTTTGCACCGCACACACATCGATAGAAAGGAACCACGTGTTGCAGATTGATAAATTAAGTGTAAAGTGCTGTTTGGGGAAACTATAGGCTTGGAGAACAGTATTTTAGCCTTTATTATTATTATTATTATTATTATTATTATTATTATTATAATAGATAGTATTCAATTATAAGTAGTAATAATAATCTAATGTTTTAAAGTATGTGATGGCTCATTTTATTATTTGATCTTGTTATAGTATTGCTGTATAGCTCAAATCATTGTGAAAGTAGTAGAGATTCCGTTTTGTCACATGCTCATTGGCTCTCCCTGGAATAAAGGTAACGCCCACCTCAGAGCCTCATTGGTCAAGAGCTCACCCGGTTTCCATGGTGATAATCACACGAGAAAGCACATGGCTCCTTGGTCATGTGACGCTGGTCCACTGCAGGGATTCACCCTTCCATCCAAACAATGGTGATTCCTACTTGTGTAGCTGTGTGAAGCAACTGAGGTTCCCTCAAGAGTACAACACCAGTGCCTACAGTGCACACTTGAATCCTCAACCTGTTTACAAAGGCTTACCCTCCATGATAAGCTGCCCTCACTTCAACTAGCTCAAGGATCAACATGGTCTGACACCCTCCAATTTCTGGGATTCAGTCCATGATCGAGCTGGACCGACCTGACTTACCAGACATCTCTTCATTTCACACAGCTACGTCTGGGGCTCACTCTTTCCCATGTGCACTCCCAGCCCTCTGGAGCTCCCTTCCCTGAGACTTTGGGAGGACCCCTGTGACAGACAGGCCTGTCTTCTGTTTAAAAGAGTTAAGCCTTTCTTGTTTGACAAGGCATGTAAGTGATTTTCTTTCTAATTATGTTTTTTTAAGCTGCGTAAAACTCCTGGAGACATGAATGTGCAGTGTTATAGAAGCCTCTGGTGATGGATTGAGCAATTGTTTACTGTGGATGATCCTCTATTTATACCTTTTTCCTTGCTTTCTAAAGGAGAGGTGGTGCTGGATGAGGTAACAGGTTTTCTCCATTATAATTTGGGCTGAGACTAAGAGGGGTCTTATTTTTCTCTATGCACGCTAAATCGGGTCCTGGACCTGGTCCTGAAGGGTCTAGAATCTGCTGTGTTTTGTCCCGACCTGAGGAATCTCATATTTTTAGACCTGCATTAGATTTCTCCTCATGCCTTTTGCCATTGATTACCCAAGATATTAATTTCATAAAAGGTATGGTTACCCATAACAGAGCCTAGTTATGAGCATGTAACAGGTTTATTCCATGCCGAAAAGAGAAGAAAGAAAACACAACGTTTCGGCCGTGGAGCCTTCTTCAGGTGTGAGGGTTATGAGTTATGAGTTATGAGTTATGAGTATTCAAGTTATGTGTTTCTTCAAATAATTAGGCCCACTATGTGACTGAGACCCAGCCCCCATAAAAAACCAGAAGACACTAGCCCCTCCAGGAACAGGGGTTTGAGACTCTTGCACTAAATTCAATGTTTAATTGTTTACCTACTGTACAACAGGGGCTCCCACTTATAGTCCTCAGGGTGTCTAAGTCGGTTTTCTATACCTCTTTCAATTGCTGGCCGATTATGGCTGTAGAGAATGGGTTAACTGGTCCAGGTAAATCTCAGCTGGATCCATGTAACACTTCTCCCAAGTGAAGAGCAGCTATAACTTAAGAAGATACGGAATTAGGAATTTGTCTTTTTGCATACCTTAACTTATTCTCCATGAGACACACAGACGGGGAGAGAAGCTGGGGGTCAGAGTGCAGGGTCAGCCATTTATACGGTGCCCCTGGAGCAGCTGGGGTTAAGGGCCTTGCTCAGGGGCCCAACGGAGTAGGATTCCTCTGCCGGACGCAGGATATGACCCGTCAACCTTCCATCCACAGGCGCAGATCCTGAGCCACAGAGCCACCACACCACCTGGGAGAGACAGAAAGTGTGAATTTCAGACACCAGGGACAAGAACTGGGAAACACTGACCTTGCAATCTACACTTTGTAACTTATAACATACATGACATAGTTATACTATAATTCAGTCTTTGACTATATCTAAGATAGTTTTCTTATGCTGAAACTCTGAGAACCATTCACAATAATGCAATTCGCAGTGGGAATTACCAAACTAAAAATGGATAGAATAACCCCTATTATCACTAATGGGATATGATCCCCTCTTAAAACAACATAAATTTCCAGGACCCAGAACATGGCTCAGCATTTTGGGATAAAATAATATAAGAATTACAAAATAATCTCCATAAGTAATTTTTTGGCAATAACAAGTAAAGTAACTGGATCCATAGCGCAAGCTCTTACAACTTTGTAAGAAGGTGTTTGTGCTAATCAAAATAATAGACGGCTCAAGCTGTTAAGCAACTAGCATAAGTGTTTTTGATATTTAAAGCTTGTTTTTAAAGACATCTGGTTGCTTTGGAGAAATCTGACTGAATAACAAAGCGAGTCTGTACTTGGCCTGCCTAAAGTCACCTGTTAACCCATTTCTGTCACCACAGCAGAGAAGGTGCACACAGCCAAGGTCACGAAACGCTGCAAGGTCTTCTATCTCCCGTTCCATCTGAAATTTTAATGATCTGATGTGTCGCCAGTATGTTCCTCCTTTTAACCAAAAATGGTGAAAGATGATTTGGTGTTTTTCTTCTTCTCTCTCCAAATGTGATAATAATATTGGACTGCCATTTCCAGCCTCAACTAATCACAACAGACACACACTCAACTGAAGTCCTGGGGGCAGAGGTCATGCTGGCCCTGGTTCTGGTTGACTCCAGTGATGACAGTGCCCCCTAGTGGACACCAGTGGTGGTTATGCCCTCTA